CCCCAAAACCCCAAAACCCCAAAACCCCTTTAAAAGATAAAACTATTGAATTTACAACCATCAGGGATTTTTAGCTACTCCTCTTCAGGGATTCCTACATCTAAAGACAGAGTAGATACTCCAGGGTCTTCCTTCTTCATAAGGGTGCCCATCATGCTCCCAACTAGGGAAAGTCGGAAGGCTTTATTCCTAGCAGAAGAGGGATTGTTCCCACTAGGCTGTAACCTCTCCTGCGTTCTGTTACTCTCTATATAACAGGCAATCAACCAAATTTTGGAAGAAATGGCTTACTCTGAGTGGAAGAACAATTAGTGTTACTGTCTTTGTTCACTTCGAGCTAGATATAAGGTCATGAAATGTATAACAAGGGAATTATGCCTCCTTCAAGTAAAGCTGAGAGGAAGGAATAGCAAAGTTAGCATAAAATCGATGTGATCTCTCACATCTTAAGTAGAAATAAGCTGTGGAGAATGAGCTTCTTACATTTTCCCATTCATCATCTGAGGAATAGTTAAGCCCTATAAGTTTAGTTAAAAATTAATTTTAGCTTGTCACATTAAGCTAAAGAGTTTTGCTGGATATAAAATCAGTATCAACCAGTAAAATTGCTACTTACTGCTCCTGCATCCCTCTGAGGCTTTGGGAGGTAAAGAGTTTAAGCTCTGTGATTGAGTCAAGAGCTTCTTAAATACTCCAACACCATCCTCTTGCTGAAGACTTTCCAGCTCTATTGTAACATTTTTATGTTTTAACAGTATATTTTCCTTTTCCTTCTCCAAAGCATGAAGCTTTGAGAACTCCCTCTTGAGTCTGTACTCATAGATATTATGAATCCACTGAATGTCAAAGCTGAAGAGGCCATCCCAGGCATCAGAAACAGTCTCTGGAGACCCTCCAGAGGCTGTAAGATGCTTGGAGATTTTTTCTTGATGCGCCAGTGACATCAAATTCTTATTTTAACGGAAACTCAACTTCCCCAATAATCTCAGCGTTAATAGAGTATTCTACAGTCAATAAGACATTAAATCTTACTTGGAGTTGAGCAGGCACCACTACTTGTCTTAGTCACTGTCTCTGAATACAGCCGGATCTTGACGTTCTCGTTCCCAGTCTTTAGCTTCCAGTTGAACTGAATCTTAGGTAGTCTAGTTATTAAAAGCAGATCCTTACTGGTCTTGAATTTCAGCTCCAAAATTCCAGTCATATTTCTTTGAAAAGAATGTATGATTGCCATCTAGGACTTCATAATAGAAGTATTTCTTCTCCTGGGGTGCTAATTTAAGCCCAAGTTCAGTAAAAGTAGAGTACGCAACGGTATTATAGCACCTCAGCCTCGAACTCCTTTGTGCCGCTCCAAAATGTTTCTCAATGCAGCTGCTCAGGCATTGTGAGGGTCTCAAAGGCTTGATGTGAAGGAACAGAGTGGAGTTATTTGACTTTAATAAGCCTCTTGCCATCCATGGTGGTGTGCTTGCGCTCTTCAGCAGAGATCTTAGCTTTGAGCCTCCTGATCTCAAGTTTATTAGCGTTTATTCTATAGTTAATGTCGGTTATCAAGCTTTCATATTTCTCTTTTTTCTTGTAAATCACCTTGATCTTACTGGAGATCAGCTGAGGGATGTGAATTAGCGAAGACTGATGGTCAAAGTATTGACTCTGACTGGCCCAATCCTTGTTTGAAGCATAATTCCCTGTGAGATTGGTTAAGAATTTTGTGGGGAAGAGGATTTTTGTATGCAAAAGTTACCTTTTGGTTGCACAGGCTTGGTAAATAAAGACTTGTGAGGATTTGTTTGGACTCCTTTAGGAGTTAACACTTTCTCTATGAAGAGGCTCGGCTTATTTCTATTAGGTTAAAAATTTGCCTCAAATTTTTCAAAAATTCACAAACCACCACATACCTCTCTCAGCCCTCCTGGAACCTAAAACCTCCATCCTCCTTATACATCTTAGCTCTCATTATTCCTACATCAAAATTCATCTCTGCCGTTGTCCTATTCCCCAAATCACCCAAAATCCCTTAGACCACCCCATAAGGCCAATCAGACTCTTTAACTTACTTAAAAATATTTCAAGATTCCCTAAAAAGTTCGGGGTTTTGGGGTTTTGGGGTTTTGGGGTTTTGGGG